GCTCTGCCTAAACTCCTTCTCTTCCCTGGTGATAACACAGTCACAAGTGGCTTTCAATCTTTCTAGACCTTGTTCTAAGGACTTTACAGATACACATTTCCATGTAGTTAAAAAACTATAACACAGAGCATGACTTTTAAATATTTAACATCATACTCCCTTCAGTAATCTCCCGGTGGTACATGGGGATCCACCCTGTTTTCTAGTGGCTGTAGAAAAAGAAGTGCATTTATTTATTTATTTATTTTTTAATATTTTATTTTTTTAAATGTTTTTTTAAAATTTTTATTTATTTATGATAGTCACACACAGAGAGAGAGAGAGAGGCAGAGACACAGGCAGAGGGAGAAGCAGGTTCCATGCACCGGGAGCCTGACGTGGGATTCGATCCCGGGTCTCCAGGATCGTGCCCTGGGCCAAAGGCAGGCGCCAAACCGCTGCGCCACCCAGGGATCCCAGTGCATTGATTTAATCTGCCTATTGAAAAATTTCATATTGTTTGCTATGAAAAACAATGGTATGGCAACAAAAAGTCTATGATAAAAAATTTAAAGATACCATTTTTTAAAGAAAGATACCATTTACAAGGGTACCAGAACAACAAATATCTAGGAATAAACTGAATAGAAATTGTTCAAAACCAGTACAATTGAAATTGAAAACCACAGAGCAGAATTGAGAAAAAACTTAAATGCCTAAGTGATTGGAGGGATGTACTCTGTGGGTTTAAAAACTTAATAAAGTAAATTTTACCAAAATTGATCTGATGATTAAACACAATAAAAATAGCATTAGGTTTTGTGTTGTGGAAGTTAACAAGCTGAATTCAAAAGTTCTATGGGAATGGAGATGGCAAAGATAGTCAATAATCTTGACGAAAGACAAAACTGGGAAACTTAGACCACCAAGCTTCAATACTTAGTTTACAGCTAGAATTAAAACAATGCTATTGATCAAAGGATAGTTCAAAAGTCCACTCAAACGGAATTCAGAGTCCAGAAACAGACCCACACAGGACCAGATGAGGCTTGGCCAACAAGTGGCTAAATCTCTTGCACAAAATAAAAATACAGTTTAACCCCTATCTTGCACAATAAAATCAAGTCCTGACAGATATGCTGCTGAATGCAAAAGATAAAGTTTTCAGAGGGAAACATAGGAGAATTGTTTACAAATGTACCAGGCAAGAATATATTAAATAAGACACAAAAAGCTTCAACCATTAAATAAAAAATGGATAAATTAAACTACATTAAAATTAAGAAATTCTGTTCTTCAGAACAATACCTTTAGCAGAATGGAAAAGGAGGCCACAGGGTGGGAGGGGATATTTGCAAGATATACATCTGACAAAGAACTCATCAGAATATAAAGAAGACCCACACATCAGTAAGAAAAAACAGCTTAAGAAAAAAAAAGGATGAAATACTGGAACAGGCAATTCATAGAAATCCAGATATCCTAATAACCAATAAATGAGACTAAATTTAACCACCAGGATTATGAAAGATAAACCACAAAGAGACAGCACTACGCCTCCACTAGAATGGCTAATTATGATAGATCCGGCAATATGTCTTGGCAAATACGTAGACCTAGAGGAACTCTCACACACAGCTGGTGTGAGTACAAATTGGTACAACCATTTTCACCATTCTTTGGCAGAAACTACTAAGGCTGCACATGACGACTCAGCAATCCCAGTGCTAGCTGTACACCCAACAGTCATGTGTATGTATATTCACTAAATCATACCAACAAAAATGCTATGGCAGCACTGGTTTTTAACAGTCTTATTGAGCTATAACCGAAAAACAAAACTATACATAGTTAATGGACAGAATTTGACAAGTCTGGACATATATATATATACACCCATTAAGCCATCACCGCAATCAAGGTAATAAACATCTCCATCACTTCCCAAAGTTTCCAAGAGCAGTGCTATTTTTAAAAGCCCCTAAATGGAAACATGTTCATTGACAGTAAAATGAATAAATAAAATTGTGGCTTTTTCATACAATACAAATATTTTAGATGGCAAGGAGAACAACTTTCTTAATACATGCACTTGCATGGATGAATCTCACACATTGCCTACTGAAAGAAGCCAGACATAAAAGAGAACACATTATGTGATTTCCATTTATATAAAGGTCGAAAAGAGGCAAAATGGACCAGTGTAAAAGTCAGAATGGAGGTTCCATGGGCAGCGCAGTAGAGATGAGGAGAAGGTAGGTGGGATCTTGGTGTGTTCACGTTGTAAGAACCCATAGAGCTCAATACTTAGGATTCTTGACCTTCTCAGTATGGACGTTTTCCATAACAAAAAATTTATACTAAAAAGGGCTACAAAGAACATCCTTGTAACTTGTATATTTGTGCATAAGTCAGTATTTTTGTAAGGAATTGTTCCTGAGGTAGAATCATTAGTTCACTTTTATTTTTATTTTTTTATTAGTTCACTTTAAAACAAGATGGTCTCATTCACCAACACATAAGGAAATATTAATTTCTGAAAGTCCTGGGTGGAGCAATCATGTATGAAAAAGAAATAAAAGGCATAAGAATTGGAAAGAAGCAGCAAAATTATCTCTATTTGCAGATGACATGATTTTATATAGAGTCCTAACTTCCATCAAAATACTGGTAAATGAAAAAAAAATACTGGTAAATGTCATCAATAAATTCAGTAAAGTGGTAAGATAAAAATGAACATACGAAAATCAGCACTGTTTCTAAATACTAATGAAAATTACCTGAAGAAGAAATAAAGAAATCTACTCATGATAGCATCAAAAACAATAAAATACTTAGAAATAAATTTAACGGAAGAGGTGAAAGATCTCTATACTGAAAACTACAAGACATTGATGAAAAAAATGGAAAACACAAATAATTGGAAAGATAGCCTGTGTGCATGGGTGAAAAGCACTAACATTGTAAAAATGTCCATTCTACCCAAAGCCATCTAGATTCAATGCAATCCCTATCAAAATCCCAACAACATTTTTCACAGAACTAGAATAATCCAAAAATTCATACAGAACCATAAAAGATCCTGAGGAGCCAACACAACCCAGAGAAAGAACAAAGTTGGAAGCATCACCCATCCTAATTTCAAACTGTATTACACAGCTACAGTAATGAAAACAATATAACACTAGCATAAACACAGACACGTTGACCAGTGAAACAGAATCAAGAGCCCAGAAATAATGCATACTTGTCTGTCAACTAATATTTGACAAGGAAGGCAAGAATAGACAAAGTAGAAAAAAGTCTTTTTTAAAAAATAGATTTTATTTATTTGAGAGAGAGAGAGCTTGCATGAGTGGGGGAGAGGCAGAAGGAGAAGCAGGCTCCCTGCTGAACAGGGAGCTGGATGCAGGACTTGATCTCAGGACCCTGGGATCATGACCCCTGGCTGAAAGCAGGCACTCAACTGACTGACAGGCACCCCGAAATACAGTCTTTTCAATAAAGGGTGCTGGGAAAATTAGAAATTCACATGTAAAGAATCAAACTAGACTTCTCTTTTATATCACTCCTAAAAATTAACTCAAAGTATTTGATTAAAGACTTACTATAAGATCTGAAACCATAAAGCTATTAGAAGAAAACAGAGGGGAAGGAGCTCTTTGGCATGGGCTTGGCGATGTTGTTTTTGGACAGGATACCTAAAACACAAAGAACAAAATAAAAGATAAACGAGGGAGTCCACATCAAGCTAAAAAGCTGCTGCACAGCAAAACAAACCATCGACAAAGTGACAAGGCAACATTAACAGAGTGACAAGGCAACCTACAGAATGGGAGAAAAAGTTTGTAAGCCACCCATCTGATAAGGCTTAATATCAAAGTATATAAGCAACATATAAAACCCAATAGAAAAAAAGAAAAAAATCCAATTGAAAAGGGGGATCCTGAATACACTTTCCCAAAGATATTCAAATGGCCAACAGGTACATGAAAAGGTACTCAACATCACGAGTTACCAGGGAGATGCACAGCAAAACCATCATGAGGTGTCACCTCATGCCCTTTAGGATGGCCACGATGGAGGACAGAAGATAACAAATGCTCACCGGGATCAGGAGAATGGGAATCCTCGTGCAGAGTTGGTGGGAATGTCGACTCACGTGACTACTAAGGAAAACAGTATGGAGATTCCCCAAAGACTTAAGACTAGAACTACCACACGATCTTCCATTTTCACTTCAGGGTATAGATGCAAAGGAGACAATATCACCACCTCAAAGGGGTACCTGCGCCCTCACGTTCACAGCAGCATAGTTATAATAGCCACATTCTGGAAATAACCTACTTGTCCAATGATGATGAGTAAAGGAAATGTGATATATACAATAAATACACACACACACACACACACACACACACTCAATGGGATAGACATGAAGGATTTGTGACAATACAGACGAACCTTGGGGGAATCACACTAAGTGAAACAAATGAGACAGAGAAAGACAAATACTGTATAATCTCATGTCTGTGTGGAATCTAAAAAAACCTCAAGTCCTAGAAAGAGATCAGATCTGAGGTTGCCAGAGGTGGGGGAAGGGGTTGGAGGATTTGGGTTTGAAGGTGGTTACAATCTCTCAATTTGTAAGTTATTAGATAAATGAGTTCCAGGGATGAATGCACGAGATGACTATAGCTAACAATACTCCTGCTCTGTATACTTGGAAGTCACTAAGGAAGAAGATCCTAAAAGTTATTACAAGGAAAAAACATTTTTTTATAACTGTGAGGTGACGGACATTAACTGAACTTACTGTGGTGATCATTTCACAATCATACATATATCCAATCATCATGCATGCCTCAAACTGCAACAATGTTATATGTCAATTGTATCTCAATATAACCGGAAAAAAATTTAGAAATCTTTCACTGCCTATCTTCGCCCATGATAAAAAATTCATTCCTTCATTTAAAAATAGTGTCATAAGAGGATAGATACTGCATGATTCCACTTACATGAGGTGCCCACAGCAGTCAAATCCGTAGACACAGAGAATAGAATGGTGGATGCCAGGGCCGGGAGGAGGAGGAGGAGGAGGGGATGGAGAGTTAGTGTTTCACACTCCAGAGTTCCAGCTGTGCCCCATGAAGTCCTGAAGACGGATGGCAATGAGAGATGCACAGGAAAGCAGATGTACTCCATGCCACCAAGCTTCACCCCGAGAAACTGCTAAAATGACAAATGCAATGGATATTTCAGCACGATTTTTTAAAAAAATTAAAAACATGTATTGAGTGACTGCTAGAGGTCAGGCACTGTTCTAGGTCTGGGGAAAAAGCTATGAATCAAAAGACAAACATTTACTACTCTTGAAAGACTTACATTCTAGTCAGGCTGTTATCAATAAAAATTTCTGCTAATCTACAGCAGAAATAAAGGATAAAGAAGCTGAATAAACAAGAGAACAGATCAATGGAACCAGGAGCTAGTTCTTTGAAGAGGTGAACAAAATTGATAAATCTCTAGCCAGACTCATTAAAAAAAAATAAAAAAGAAAAAAAAAGGGGGGGACTCAAAATCACAAATGAAAGAGGAGAAAGAGCAACCAACACCACGGAAATACAAAAAGATCGTAAGAAACTATTATGAAAAATTATATGCCAACAAGTTGGACAACCTAGAAGAAATGGATAAATTCCTAGAAACATATATCCTACCAAAACTGAGTAAGAAAGAAAATTTGAACAGATTTCCAGCAATGAAATTGAGTCTGTATTAAAAAAAAAATTCACAACAAACAGTATTCCAGGGCCAGACGACTTCACAGGTGAATTCTACCAAATGTTCTCAAGCTTTTCCAAAAACAGGAGAGGAAGGAAAATTTCCAAATTTATTCTCTGAGGCCAGCATTACCCTGACACCAAAAACAGATAAATATACGAGAGAGAGAGAGAGAGAGAGAGAGAGAGAGAGAGAGAGAGAGAATGAATAAATAAATATTACAGGCCAATATCTCTGATGCACATAAACACAAAATTTCTCAACAAAATACTAGCAAACTGAATCCAACAATACATTAAAAAAATCATTCACTACAGTCAAGTGGGATTTATTCCCAGGGTGCAAGGGTGATTCAATATTTGCAAATCAGTGTGATACATCACATAAATAAGAGGAAGGATAGAAACCTGTATGATCATTTCAATAAATGCAGAGAAAATATTTGACAAAATATAATATATATTCATGGTAATTAAAAAAAATCCCTCAACAAAGTAAGTTTAGAGAGAACATCCCTTAACATAATAAAGGCCATGTATGAAAAGCTCACAGTGAACATCATACTCAATGGGGAAAAACTGAGAGCTTTCCCCCTGAGGTTCAATAACAAGACAGGATGTCCACTTTCACCACTTTTATTGAACATGGTACTGGAAGACCTAGCCACAGCAATCAGACAATGAAAAGAAATAAAAGGCATCCAAATTGGTAAGGAAGAAGTAAAACCTCCACTATTTGCAGATGACATGATACTACATGTAGAAAACCTAAAGGCTCCACCAAAAACCTACTAGAATAAATGATAAATGAGTTCAGTAACATTGCAGGATATGAAATAAATCAACGTGCAGAAATCCACTGCCTTTCTACACACTGATAATGAAGCAGAAGAGAAATTAAGAAAACAATCCCATTTACAATTGCATCAAAAATAATAAAATATCTAGGAACAAACTTGACCAAAGAGGTGAATAACCTATACTCTGAAAACTATAAAATACTTAATGAAAGAAACTGAAGATGACGCAAGCATGTGGAAGGACATTCCACACTCATAGGTTGGAAGAACAAATATTGTTCAAATGTCTACCACCCGAAACATTCCATAATGAAATCCCTATCAAAATATTGCCAACATTTATCACAGAACCAGAACGATCCTACAATCTGTTTGGAACCACAAAAGACCCTAAATAGCCAAAGTAACCTTCAAAAAGAAAAACAATACTGCAGATATCACAATTTCTGACTTCATGTTACATTTCAGAGCTATAGCAATCAAAACAGTATGGTACTCGGACAAAAACTGACACACACATCAATGGAACAGAAGACCCAGAAATAAACCTCTAATTTTATGATCAATTAATCTTTGGCAAAGCAGAAAGAATACCCAATGGGAAAGAAGATAGTCTCCAACAAGTGGTGTTGGGAAAACTGGACAAGCTACATCCCAAAGGATGAAATTGGACCACTTTTTTACCTCATACACAAAAATAAGCTCAAAATGGATTAAACATCTAAATGTGAGACCTGAAGCTAGAAGTCCTAGAAGAGAACCCAGGCAGTAATTTCTTGGACACCGACTATAGCAATATTTTTCTAGATACATCTCTTGAGGCAAGGGAAACAAAAGTAAATATAAACTAGGGGGACCACATCCAAATAAAAAGCTCTGCATATCAAAGGAGATAATCAACAAAACTATAAGGCAGGCTATGGAATGGGAGAAGATATTTGCAAACGCAAATATTTAGTAATAAATATTTAGTAATAAAAATAAAGAACTTATATGACTCAACACCCCAAAAAACAAGTAACCCGATTAAAAAATGGGCAGAAAACATGAACAGACATTTCTCCTAAGAAGACATAGAGATGGCCAATAGACACATGACAAGATGCTCAACATCACTCATGCTCCGGAATGAGCAAATCAAAACTATGTTGAGGTATCACCTCGAACTTGTCAAAATGGCTAAAGTCAGAAACGCAAGTGTTGGCGAGGATGTGGAGAAAAAGGAACCCTGGTGCCCTGCTGGTGGGAATGCAAACTGCTGCAGCCACGTGGAATACAGTATGGATGGAGGTTCCTCAAAAAGTTAAAAATAAAATTACTATATAATCCAGCAATCATACTAGTAAGTATTTATCCCCAAAATACAAAAACACTAATTGGAAGGGATACAGGCTTCCTGAGGTTTACAGCAGCATTATCTACAATAGCCAAAGTGTACACAGATCGATGACTGGATATGGAAAATTATATATATATATATACACACACATGATTATATATATGAAAATGGTGTATATATATACATACACACAATGGGATATTAAATATATATTATATACACATAATGTAAATAATATATATATTATGTATATAAATATTATAAATGCATATATACATAAAATTATATATACACACACACATATACACAGTGGAATATTACTCAACCATGAAATAATGAAATCTTGCCATCTGCAACAACACGGATGGAGCTAAAGAGTTCAATGCAGGTGAAATAAATCAGAATGAGTCAAATACCATATGATTTCACTCATATGTGGAATTGAAGAAACAAAACAAATGGCTAAAAGAAGGTAAGAGAGAGAGAAACCAAGAAACAGACTCCTAACTCTAGAGAAGAAACTGCTCATTGCCAGAGGGGAGGAGGTGGGGGTTGGGTGATGGGGTGAAGGGCACATGTGTCCTGATGAGCACTGAGTAATGTACAGAGCTGTCCAATCACTGTATCATACACCTGATACTAATATAATGCTATGTTAATTATACTGGAATTAAACTTAAAAAAAATATTTCTACTGATCTGATTGGTGATAATGCTCTTTTACTGTTTTAATTAATTTTGCATTTTTCTAATTCCTAATAAGGTTTCATATAATTTCACATACTTATGGACCATTTGTATTCTATGAAGTGCCTCTTATTACCTGCCCATTTTTTTTCTATCGCATCGTCTATTTCTTATTAGTTTGCAGCAGCTCTTTGTATTTTATGGCTATTATCTTTTTTTTGTTTGGTTGGTTTGTTTAATATGTTGCAAATATCTGCTGAGTCAACAACTTGGCTTTGGGCTTCTCTCCCTGTATCCTGTCCCTGGCAGTCTGTAAGTCAACTTCTCTCTTCATGGCTGCCATGTCTTTGCGTAGGCTGATCTTCTCCATCCTAGGATTAAAAAAAAAAATTCTTACACCTTATCCTGATACTTTGATAATTTTTATAGGTCTTTAATTTCTCCAGAGTTAAATTTTATGTTTGATGAGGAGAAATTTATTTTTTTATATGGGAACAAATTATACCCAAACCATATACTGAATTGTCAGTCCATATTTTCCACTGATTTAAAATATCACATTATTGGTGATAGTTCCTTATTTTCCCTCTACTGACCTTTTTGGGTATTCCTTCCCAGATACCATTTATTTTAATTTCCGTAGCTTTTCTTTTTTTTCAAATGTATTTTTATTCCTAGAAGGGCAAACCTTCTCTAAGAATCTTTAAAATTTTTCTTAGCTATTTTTGTGCATTTGCTTTTCCAAACAATTTCAGAATCAGTTTGATACTATACAGAATTCATAATTTGGGGAGTCTTTAAGATATGGAGTCTTCCCATTCAGGAACAAAATAAGTGTCTCTGCTTATTACACCAGAATTAAGGGCCATTGGGATGAGTGTCCCACAGGAGAGATGGAGAGCCCTTTGGGAACGTGAGTTTGGAGCCGTGTGCGGACAGCCGCTGGGAAGGAAGCAGGGCGGGAACAGCAGCCGAGGTGACTGGCCTTCTGGGAGGTGTATTTGCCAACAAAGGCCCTGGAGCGGTGGCTGGGACAGGGCAGCACCTGCTGGTGTATTAACTGGGGTTAATGATCCTTTAGGATGAGCACTGGGTGATATGCTATATGTTGGCAAATTGAACTCCAATTAAAAAAAAAAAAGACGCTTTAGCTTTGAGGTCAGTTCTAGGTTCACAGCGAATCAGAGCAGGAAGTGCAGAGATGGCCCCAATAGCCCCTGTCCCCACTGTGCATGGCCTCCCGTGTGCACATCCCCTCCTGGCATGGGACACATGTCGCACCTGTTGAACCTACAACACGCAAACCCCGTACCCACCGTAAGACCATCACGTGGAGTCCTCTTGCTGTCACCGCCCTAGCATCCTCCGTGCTCCCCGTTCACCCGCCCTCATCCCCAGAGCCTGGCAACCACTGATCTTTTTACCATCTCCACGGCCCTGGCTTTTCCAGGATCAGGGAGTGTGTGGCCCTTTTGGATCAGCGCGTCTGAGTCAGTGGTAAGCACCTGAGGCTCCTCCGTGTCTTTGCACGGCTCATCGCTCACTTGTTTTATTGCCAGTCGGTCGCCTGCTGCCCGGACTCAACAGTTTACCCGTTCAACTCGCTG